TTCCAAATAAACAAATTTCAATACAATTTACTGGCACCATGATATCTAATATAAATATATTTAAAGAAGGCTGAATGCCCGAAAATCTTTTACTGAAAAAATGACTTTGGCCCAAGTAGCTCCCTTTTATATATGTTATAATCTCATAGTCACAAGAAAAACAGTTTTCATACATTATTTTACAGAGTAAAGTTCATACAATTGTCTCTTCAACATAAGATTAATAAATAAAGTTATCAGAAATATATAGCCTGGGCAAATAACCTTGATGGTATAATAAATATCAATTTATTGCATCAAATCCACCTTTATCTCAAATTGGAAATCATCTACTATGCCCATAATCGCTAAATTCTTAAAGTTTAGTATGAAACATGTTTAAAGGGGTTTTAAAGGAACCAAATCATACATAGAGAAACTTCTAAATTATATTATATAATGGGTTACTATGTTTTTGAATAAATCAGACCACAATTAACACACTGTTGAAAGTCCATAAGCTTTTAGAGGCATTTACTATCTGGAATAGAGCAATAAACCGTAACACATACTTATGAAAAACAGCTACGAATATATATGAATCACAATTTGTATTACTGTATTAGCTTGAATTCTCTTTGAAACCATGCCCAAATAAATTAGTAGCTGTTTGCCATAATGTGTTATAGTTTAGTGCTAAAAGTCTAGTTGCCAAGAAATAATCAAATAACATTTCAATCTATAATGTTGAAGCCCAATAAACAGTTCTTTTATTAATAAAGACACCATTCTTACCAAAACCCATCCCCATAATTTCAAATAACATCAACTTATTGATAATTTTGCTATAACTGTAAATATTTATATGTTATTCCTGCCAATTTCAAATATATATATAATACTAAAGCCGAGTTTACCCCAGACAAATGGTCAGGTGTACAGCTTGTTGTAACTTGTATGGATAGGACTAGTTCTATTCTCAAATGACGGATTGATGCAAAGCCAATCAAATTGCTTTATATTAGACGTCATATCTGACCTGGCAACCAGAATTCCTGCTAATATTTATTAAATATGTCTTCTTCGAGTCCTCTAAACTTATCCGCTACTAAATTAGAATATCTAATAACTCGGGGACTTGTGAAACCTGCAGCATCAAAACTAGACCAAGACAGTGATGAAAAGTGTCGCCTTGAAGTCTATTGCTTCCATTTTATTTAGTAGCTAAGAGGGAACTAATGTTGCCATACAACGAATAGATGTAAATAGTCGTCCAATATATTGCACCCGACGGTTGTATGGATTGGCTGTATTGTGTAAACGCCGCTTAAAAGACTAGAACAGTGTAATCAGTATTATTAGTGTCATGTAAAGCCTGAAATATGACTGTGGAATATTCACAGCACATAAATTGTAATGAGCATTCAAATTAGAGTTTTATTCCCCAAATATACAATTTGTTCCTGGGGTGATAACTTACACAAAGTTTTAAATGCATGCATTTGATACATTAATCCATAAATGTAAACAAAACATAGGTAATTCATGATATCATCATTAATATGGATACTTAAACTGATGATTACATAAATAACTAGGGACTAAATTTATGATGTCATCAATATACCGGTTCCCCAATTTATAATGATGTTAGTATTATCAACCAATAATATTTTCATCAAAAGTAATTATTTCTCAAATAATTAATTATCTGATAATTAACTATATCATCAAATCCTGTAAAACCTGACCAGACAATGTCATGAAAGCACAAGGAATATAAGAGAACATGTCATCATTTTCCGCTTGTGTGATGTCATCAGGAGATCATTGATGTTGGGAGCTTTTGAGAATATAGGTACGCCATGGAGCGCAAGGCAAGGACCAGAGATTCACGTCGATCAACTCCTACAAGAGCCCTTTGCCAGTCCACATGTCCTATGTGGGGATTGGCTTGTTCAATAACTTGACCTATGCTGACTGAAAGTCCAGCCCATCGTAGAGGATAATCAGATGGGGTTTGATCCTGGGCAGAGTGGATATATTGTGTTGGAATTGGTGTAGGCTGGGAGAACGTCTGCAGATCAATGTGATTAACAGGATCTTGTAAAACAATACAACTCATTTCATACCACCTACAAAACACAAAATATTTAAAATATAATAAACTGATTCCATTTAACAACAATCAAATGGGAAGTCAGATAAAAATTGTCTGAAGAAAAAAAAAAATTTTTTTTTTGTTACGTGAGCAGCTTGAACAATCGGAACAATCACGGTTAATTATCTCCAAAATAGGGAAATTACAGGTTAATTTCATGGGTTATTGTTTCCTTTACCTAGTTTTTTTTCAAGTCGATTCATGTCATTTTTATTTTTTGTATCAAATGTTGGGAGGTTGCTTGTTCACGTGAGCATAAATTTTTTAAACCCACCCCATGAAAGAAGTAGCAATAAGGCGTCAAACTTTGGGTGACGAAAAATGGGGAATTTAGACAGGCTTTGATATCCAGTCCGTATACAGATCTCGTTCGCCAGAATCGTCTGAAGTTAATATTGTGGTAACAGCACCGAGTCATCGATAAACTGTGTGAGTTTGGTCTTTCTGCTACGTATAGTAAAAGTGTAAGGACTTGCCAAAGTTGGTATTTGAGAAAAGACAGATCTTGGCAATTTCACCATATGAAAATGTTTTTTCAATTTTCTCATACAGGAATTGAAAGATTTATCTAATATTGCATATTTATGTGTTTTGGGACTATCCCAACTTATAAACCAAATTTGGTCAAAATCTGTGATTGAAGCCTTAGCACCTTCTGCATGGTTTTCTCGCGGACACGCTCTTAACTCGTCTACGCTTATCAGCCCATAAATTATATATAGAAACTGGTCGATATACTAAAGTGCCACATGATCAACGATTATGTACATTTTGTCAGCTTGGGGAACTGGAAGATGAATTTCACCACGTCCTAATTTGCCCGTCATTTGAGGATATACGCATTAAGTTTATCAAGCCGTATTATTACACTAGACCTAACGTTTTTAAATTCTGTCAGTTACTAAGTACCTGTAATATAAAAGACTTGTATAAACTAGGTAAATATTTGTCATAATATGCCGATAAGCGTCGATCAGAATTGTTAAAAAAGAAATAAAAATAATGTAATTAAAAAGGATATAGAAAGCCTAAATGATTATAACTTAAATAATGTTTAGCATAATTAACTGTAATAACAAATTACTATTTTTGATGACATTATAGTAGATATATAATTTAAATTTCCACTCTCAACTTATATACTTTATTATAATATTGTACATACTGTAGATTATGTAAATATTGTATGTATATGTATACTGATGAGTTTTAAACTCAAAGTTAATAAAGAACTGAACTGAACTAACGTCCGTTTGTTTAATTATCCACACATCGGTTCAATTAACATCGAGACATAGCTCTATAGATTAATCATTACTTATTGCTTACGATATTCAATTATAACTTAAGCCATATCAAACTATACATAACATACTTACAGATGTGGTGGTGGTGGTTTTGAGTATCTACAAATTAAAGTAGCTACATGTAAGTCTCTAACTCAATATTATCCAAAATCTTCAACATTGAAAACACGAATTATTTGTCAATTTAAATCAACATCGATGCTGTGATCTTACCGGAAAAAGATGGGCTTCTGATATCAAATATTTAAGACAAAATAAACATGTTACCATTGGTACACGAATCGTGTACCACAATGCGTTTCAGCCCCAGTTCTAGCAAGAGACTCGAGGAACGAGGCTAGAGATATTGCAAACCAAACGGCGTATGTAGACTGGAATAACCAAACGCTAGAAATTTGCATTCGATTGAGACTGCTGGCTTATTTCGCGGAACATAACTGATTTGAAATTAGAGTAAAAACGGAAACCATTGAATGTAAATCAGTTTATATACATTCATATTACTATATTATATGAGTTGCAACCCACTTGTGTCAATTTCTAGGTCCCAAATGTTAGCGATTTAGCTCCTTTAAACATACACGGTAATCTGTATCCCCGAAACCGAGAGTTTTTTTAATTTTTTTATTTCAATAATTCGCTTGCTCGTAGGGGCTTTAGCAGTGGGAGGAGAAAACCCACGAGGTTTGACAGGCGATCCTACTCCTTGTCACGCACAACCGGGGAATCGAAACCCCGCCAGTTGACTCAATGACAGACCGTATGATACAGCGCGCGCGTGCTAACCATTCGGCCATCCAACCCCCAAAAGCGTCAGGAGCTAATAATTATTTGATATATTAACTGTTGAAATTAACAGAACTTTGTTCCCGTAAATACATGCAGTTGTAATAAAACGTAACGTGATTGAAGGACGGGCGACAACAATATTTCGATGTGGGCGTACAAAAACGAAAGTATAAAGTTAAAAGTATAACTTAGAAATCAATTTATAGCATAAACACAGACATGACACACCAGGGAACATCCAAGATAATTCTGTGCCTGCGGGAAGACCATCGTGACACTTAAAGGAAGTTGTATAAGGCCAAGAGCCGTGTTCTGATCTGATTAATGCAGGCTGTTGATCTTTCAATTCACTCGAGGACATGTTTTGGTGACCCTATAGAACAAAGCAAATCTATAGGCTTATAGTCCAGATTCCAATTCTAACTCCAATGGCAAGGTTAATCTATTCTTGTTCATGTTGCTGCCACAGACAAGTTAGGTGTAAGCCTACACTAAATTCTTTTTTTCGACAAACATTTTAATCACTGAATGACAACATTGAATACACAAAAAGAATGGAAAATTGGGAGTGCTGTGGGTATGAATCTGAGCACCTGGACCTAAATCAGTTGGGTTACTTGCTCTGCAATTAATTACCTCACCGCATGACAATATTTGTACTATTAAACTGGGAACTAGCGATTCCAACCCACTCCAAGTATACACTGGACGAACTGGCGGACACTATAATGGCCACATCTAAGAAAGTATGTAAAAACAGAAAGGAAGTTTTTCATTTTATATTTCCCAAATGTAGTCTATTTACAGAAAATAAACACCGAGGCTTGTCACTACCAAGAAGGTTGTGAAAAGCACCCTTTGTTGACAGTGTAACTAAAATGTCATAATAATATTCCAAATAAACAAATTTCAATACAATTTACTGGCACCATGATATCTAATATAAATATATTTAAAGAAGGCTGAATGCCCGAAAATCTTTTACTGAAAAAATGACTTTGGCCCAAGTAGCTCCCTTTTATATATGTTATAATCTCATAGTCACAAGAAAAACAGTTTTCATACATTATTTTACAGAGTAAAGTTCATACAATTGTCTCTTCAACATAAGATTAATAAATAAAGTTATCAGAAATATATAGCCTGGGCAAATAAACTTGATGGTATAATAAATATCAATTTATTGCATCAAATCCACTTTTATCTCAAATTGGAAATCATCTACTATGCCCATAATCGCTAAGTTCTTAAAGTTTAGTATGAAACATGTTTAAAGGGGTTTTAAAGGAACTAAATCATACATAGAGAAACTTCTAAATTATATTATATAATGGGTTACTATGTTTTTGAATAAATCAGACCACAATTAACACACTGTTGAAAGTCCATAAGCTTTTAGAGGCATTTACTATCTGGAATAGAGCAATAAACCGTAACACATACTTATGAAAAACAGCTACGAATATATATGAATCACAATTTGTATTACTGTATTAGCTTGAATTCTCTTTGAAACCATGCCCAAATAAATTAGTAGCTGTTTGCCATAATGTGTTATAGTTTAGTGCTAAAAGTCTAGTTGCCAAGAAATAATCAAATAACATTTCAATCTATAATGTTGAAGCCCAATAAACAGTTCTTTTATTAATAAAGACACCATTCTTACCAAAACCCATCCCCATAATTTCAAATAACATCAACTTATTGATAATTTTGCTATAACTGTAAATATTTATATGTTATTCCTGCCAATTTCAATATATATATAATACTAAAGCCGAGTTTACCCCAGACAAATGGTCAGGTGTACAGCTTGTTGTAACTTGTATGGATAGGACTAGTTCTATTCTCAAATGACGGATTGATGCAAAGCCAATCAAATTGCTTTATATTAGACGTCATATCTGACCTGGCAACCAGAATTCCTGCTAATATTTATTAAATATGTCTTCTTCGAGTCCTCTAAACTTATCCGCTACTAAATTAGAATATCTAATAACTCGGGGACTTGTGAAACCTGCAGCATCAAAACTAGACCAAGACAGTGATGAAAAGTGTCGCCTTGAAGTCTATTGCTTCCATTTTATTTAGTAGCTAAGAGGGAACTAATGTTGCCATATAACGAATAGATGTAAATAGTTGTCCAATATATTGCACCCGACGGTTGTATGGATTGGCTGTATTGTGTAAACGCCGCTTAAAAGACTAGAACAGTGTAATCAGTATTATTAGTGTCATGTAAAGCCTGAAATATGACTGTGGAATATTCACAGCACATAAATTGTAATGAGCATTCAAATTAGAGTTTTATTCCCCAAATATACAATTTGTTCCTGGGGTGATAACTTACACAAAGTTTTAAATGCATGCATTTGATACATTAATCCATAAATGTAAACAAAACATAGGTAATTCATGATATCATCATTAATATGGATACTTAAACTGATGATTACATAAATAACTAGGGACTAAATTTATGATGTCATCAATATACCGGTTCCCCAATTTATAATGATGTTAGTATTATCAACCAATAATATTTTCATCAAAAGTAATTATTTCTCAAATAATTAATTATCTGATAATTAACTATATCATCAAATCCTGTAAAACCTGACCAGACAATGTCATGAAAGCACAAGGAATATAAGAGAACATGTCATCATTTTCCGCTTGTGTGATGTCATCAGGAGATCATTGATGTTGGGAGCTTTTGAGAATATAGGTACGCCATGGAGCGCAAGGCAAGGACCAGAGATTCACGTCGATCAACTCCTACAAGAGCCCTTTGCCAGTCCACATGTCCTATGTGGGGATTGGCTTGTTCAATAACTTGACCTATGCTGACTGAAAGTCCAGCCCATCGTAGAGGATAATCAGATGGGGTTTGATCCTGGGCAGAGTGGATATATTGTGTTGGAATTGGTGTAGGCTGGGAGAACGTCTGCAGATCAATGTGATTAACAGGATCTTGTAAAACAATACAACTCATTTCATACCACCTACAAAACACAAAATATTTAAAATATAATAAACTGATTCCATTTAACAACAATCAAATGGGAAGTCAGATAAAAATTGTCTGAAGAAAAAAAAAAATTTTTTTTGTTACGTGAGCAGCTTGAACAATAGGGACAATCAGCAACTCAATCTTAATTTAAGCGTTTTATAATTAAGACTATTGAAATCCAGTATATTTTAGGGATTTAATATAACTGATCAATTGACATAAATCATTTGTTTTCTATTGATGAGTTAACAGCTCCAGTCCAATGCTGTAAATGCTGTAACATTTTCTGGACCTGTCTGGACAGATCAATAAACAACTCTGTCTATATACCAGGGCCCGTATGCAAAGGATATCTTAAGCCTAAGATAGTCACTTAACTACTAGATTTCACTTAAATATACTTAACTTCCTGTAAGTTAAGGGTAAGTAGTATTCAAAGGCAGTGTTAAGTATCAAATTTTCCCTTAAATTTAAGCTGCCTTAACATATAAGTGTTTAGTCTTTTAGTGGTATTCAAAGGTCAGTTTCAGTGTGAAAAATCGACTTAACTTTAAGTGACCTATGGAATGTACCTTAAAGTTAGGTGAGATTATAATGACATCTTTTAACTGGAGTACACAATGTAGTATTAGGCCCGTAATGGTGATTTTAAAAGTTAGGAAATTCCCAAGGATCTTTCCCAGCCAACAGCGGGAGAGTACTTGAGACCCCTCGGTTAGCAAGACAGTGTCTTACTCATCAGCCACTTCAGCTTCCTTTAGGAATTCAATATAACTGGTCAACTGGCTTAAATTCTGTTATGTGTAAGTCGGTATAAAAAAAAAAAGAAAAAGATTTTGCTAACAACTACCCCACTGCTAGAGTCAGTAATTAAGTTCTCATGGCTACTGACTATCTAGTGAAATGAAGTATAAAACAAAACATTGGTTGGGTTTCTTACTTACTTACACCCACCTTAATAGCCTGTTATATGCTATATATACATTCACTGAAAGTTTATAAAACGTTTATCTGGTAAAATGTCAACATTTATGTCTAACAAAAACACTGAATAAATATTTTTGTTTTTGTTCTCCGCAGATGACGAACATGGTACCACAGATGAATGAAAGTTTTTGGTCGAACAAAACACTCACGCCCAATGATGTATATTAAGGGGTGATGATACCCGAAAAATGCTTTCTGAAATTCTAAAGCTAGTGAATTGAAGATGGCACAAGTAGTTAGGAAATGTAATAAACAGGGGAAAACTAACATTAAAAATAAAGAAAAATAAGTTTTTGCCAAGGTAACACATTTTTTTTGGGAAAAGTATGAAAAATGTAGTACACCATATCTCTGGCACTAATAAAGATAAATGTCTCATTTTAGGACTGCATATTCTTTAACGATAACCCCAAAACCAGACAGAGATTTTTTCTCTATGATTTTTATAATTTCTTGGAAAATGGTGTTTAAAACATTTGCCTCACCACAATACATGTATTTTGTCTTTGGAGAAATATTTTGATAACTTTTGAAATATTAATGATAATTCAAATTGCTTTCTGTCTGATTCTGTGGCAGATATTAGTTTATATATCCTGCAAATTTGGCAAAGATATCTTAATTAGTTACAGAGATATAGTGTTGCTACTTTTTTCCCAAAAAATGTGTTAACCTGGCAACAACTTTCTTTAATGCTAGTTTTCCCTTGTTTATTACATTTCGTAACTACTTGTACTATTTTCAATTCAATAGCTATAACATTTCAGAATAAATTTTTCGGATAGCCTCCCTCGCTAACCTACGTCATTGACACTGCCACATAAAATCATGTGATTTCAAAATCACATACATATTACATCACATTTGAATGTCATGTGATATTTATGTGATCGCTGATAGGTTCGACTTTAATGCAGATGACCCACATATCTAACAATTTCACAAACATTTTGTCAGAATAATTATGTTTTTTTTTTAACCCGCAATTGATCGGAACAATGTTTTCATGGATGTCTGGCTAAAATGTTCCATCGTCTGCGTTTGACTTTGCCATTAAAAAATCTGTTACATAATATTAGTGCGAGTCAACAAGATTTTAAGAATGGAGAATAATAACATCCTCATTGTCCTCCAATATGACACCAATATTAGATTACCATAAATATCAAAGACAATTTCACTCATTTCTGCACACAATGAAACCTTCCATAGCGATCAACACTCATAAGTACTTACTTATCAGGTAGTAGTTCAACAATAAAACCTTCTATTGAGACTGACACCTGCTCATCACTGATTGTGCTACTACGACGTAGATGTTGTATCCGCTCCTCAGCTCCCTTTAAACCAGCTGTATAACCAACTGGCTGTGCTGCCGTTCCAGATTCACTTTCCTGCAAAATAGATATATTAATTAATATAAAATACCTGTAGGGTATCGGAAAGGAAAGAAAATTGCAAAGAAAGGTCAAAATCTTGAAACCTTCAACTTGATTTAATTTTCGAGAATTGATCATATAAATATATTTACCAGCACAAACACTTAACATGCGCTTAAGAAAATTAAAAATTAATCTTTTAACAGCAAAGAATGACAATCATAGTACAAAGAAGATATATATATACAAAATATACAATCAGAGATAATAATTTAGAAACCATCAAAGGAGTGGGAAGCCATAATGGTGGGTAATAATAATGAACTATGTACAAAGAAAACGTGATAATAAAGACGGCTAGATTGGGCTGTGGCTATGCTAACACAGGAGGAACCCACTAAGAGACCATGATCAGTATATATATATATATATAAAGAAAATATAATTGTTTTAATAGTAAGTCGCACATCGAAAACACTCAACTTAATGAAATACATCAGAGGAACGCAATGGGGCACAAATAGAAGCACTCTTATGTTAATATACAGAGCACTCATCCGCTCGGTAATCGATTACGGATGTCTGGCTTATGCAAATGCAAGTGATACACAACTAAATAAATTGAACATAATACAAGGTAAAGCATTAAGACTAGTAACAAGAGCAGCAATAGGAACCAAAACAGTTGCCCTTTTACAAGAGATGGGAGAACTCCCGCTCGATCTCAAGCGAGGGGAACTGTCACTCAAGTACTGGGGTAAACTGCAAATGCTAAAAGAAAAATGTCCGACATAAGTGCCTCCAACAATTCAAACGCATAGGCTATAGAAAAAATACGCGTCCCATGACATTCGGGCAAATGCCAAACGATGTCTTAAATAAGCACGGTTTAAAAGGAACAATCATAGAAACAAAAACTTATCCCGTCACTCCACCCTGGCAACTAAACGATCCAATCATCAACACGCACCTAATTAACGTTACAAACAAACACGCTAATCCCATAGCGGCTAGAGCACTAGCATTAGAACTAATAGACACCAAATGGGCAGACTATCTCAAAATCTATACAGATGGATCGAAAAATAATACACAGGGATTAACAGGGTACGGCATTTTCATACCCAAAGCAAAGCTAAACATCAGGAAAAGGATACCAGAACATTGTTCTGTGTACACCGCAGAACTGATGGCCATTAAGACTGCAATAGAATAGCTAGCCACGCAAACACACCAAAAAGCCGTTATCCTATCAGACTCCCTAAGTAGCATCAAATCCATTGAATCAGATTATTCCAAAAGCAGACAGGGCATAATCCACCAAATTAGGGATATCAATCAAACAATCAAGAATAACGGAAGAGAGGTAGCCCTTGCATGGATCCCCTCCCACATCAATATTTTCGGCAATAAACAAGATGACAAGCTAGCCAAGGAAGGGTTGTAACTAAATGATATAGAAAATTTAGAATACAGCAGTCAGGAATTCACAAGCATAGCTAAAGATAAAATTAAAAATTCATGGAAAACCCGTCTAAAACATTAGAATACTCATTGCTATCAAATTGATAGCAATCTTGTAGACAAGGTTTACATCAATCATCCCTCAATTAAAATATGCAAACTCATCACGAGGCTTAAAACGATAAACGTAATAAAAGACTTCACCTTTAGACCAATTAAATGCCCATGTGGACAAATTGCGACCACGTCACACCTGCTAATTAACTGTCATCAATTAAACAAAGAACGTCAATCCGTAATTAAGAATCTAGCAGAGAGGGGAAAAACTCTCTGTCTCAAATCTCTCCTTTCTCCACAACCTGACGATAGAGACTGGACATCACAACTTGTCTGGAATTTTATTGAGAATATAGGGATGACCAAATATATAAAATAATAAAATTAATCAATTAAACAGTAGGGCGGAACGTAAAAATGTCCTCTAGAAGGAAGCGTAAACCGCCCTGCACTAATAATAAATATAGGCATGACCAAATACATAAAATAATAAAATTAATCAATTAACAGTAGGGCGGAACGTAAAAATGTCCTCTAGAAGGAAGCGTAAACCGCCCTACACTACTAATAAAACCCTGATAAAATTAATAAATCAGTTAATAAAATTAATCAATTAACAGTAGGACGGAACGTAAAATTGTCCTCTAGAAGGAAGCGTAAACCGCCCTACACTATTAATAAAACTCCGATAAAATTAATAAATCAATTAATAAAATTAATCAATTAACAGTAGGGCGGAACGTAAAAATGTCCTCTAGAAGGAAGCGTAAACCGCCCTACACTACTAATAAAACTCCGATAAAATTAATAAATCAAATTATACAATGTAGGATGAAGCAAAAAAACGTCCCCTAGAGGGAATCGCCACCTGTCCTACACCACAAATAAAACTATTAATTAATAAATCAGGGTGATAGCGCAAAAATGTTCCCATAAGAGGGAAACGCTACACACCCTGAAATATTCTTTACACTTTTATTTATTTGACTAAATAAGTATTGATTGTAGATCATATTAAGCCACCATACATGTATTATTGTATTTATTAACTCCTAATAAATGTTTGAATGTATATCATACTAACTTGCCATAAATACATTTTTTTTTTTTTTTTTTTTTCCTCCAACCCCAGCACCCCCCCCCCCCCCCCCCCCCCGGAAGCCTTACTAGACGCAATAAAAACAAAACCATCACAAGACCAGCTACTCTTTTTTCTCTAGCTTTCTCTTTTCAGGCGCTGGATTCTTCCTTCAGAGAACCAACAACAAAGGAATGAACAACAGAAATAATGACGAAATCAACCACCATACCGGACAACAAAACCAAATGGAAGGAAGAATGGTCCAGGCCTTACACTCACCAACAAGCCCCAAGGAAGAGTTGCACCGCCCTGCCATTCAACCGGACAAATCGACCAGACCGACGAAAATGACCTAAATATATATATATACATGTATATGTACATACTATGTCTAAATGTTTGTCTCTGTCCAAATGTTCGTCCACATTCATGTCTGTTTTGTTACAAATTCGTCTGTTTTGTAAACGTCCAGTTGCTATCTCATGTCTCTTGCTGTCATCTATTGTCTTCTGTACATATATATAAAAACCTAATTATCCTCTTTTTCACTAATCACATTGTAAATTATTGCACTTTGTATACATAACATGTTATTGTCTGCGATATCACCTCGGTGGAAGCGGACGTAAAATACAACTAACTAACAACATAATTGTTTTTATATAATAGTTCGGAGCAAAACAGTAGGACGTTAAACCCCATTTCATTTCAGTTTTTATATAAAAGACAAAATATCTCCATTTTAAATTTGTTAATTTTACTCTATAAATACCAATAAGATATTTTCCTTTTGTATAGTATACTAAACAGCAAACAAAACGTCGGTAAGATTTCAAAATCAGTGAGGCACGTTAATCGAATCATTCTAGAAAATGACTTACAAAATGGATCAAAGCAATTTTTTGTGAACAGTATGTTGACACATTAGTGATTAATTCATCACAATTCCAAGACATTACGAGAAGGTTTAGAGTCTGTACACAGTCTATACATCAGTATCTGGTGTGTCCACCGCGAGTGTTAATAGCAGCAGCGCATCGTCTGTACATGGAGTGGACCAGACGATTGATGAACACCATTGGCACCAGGAACCACACTCTCAGAAAAGCCTGGCACAATCCATCAGCTGTGTTTGGTCTCGGTACAACGTTACTAAGTCTCCTCTGAATTTCATCCCAAAGATGTTCAATCAGGTTAAGTCCAGACTAAAGGGACCCATACACGTTCAATAATTCCGTCAATATTATTGACCCAATATATTGACTCAATATATTGAATCAATAATATTGACAGGAATTGCCCACATACGATTCAATATTTCCATCAATAATTTCATCAATTTTTGGTCATTTTTCAAAATGGATGCCATGTTTACTCTTCCAAGGTTGACAATGGAATAAAAATATTGATGCAATTATTGACAGATTCTGTCAATAACCATCATTGCGTCAATATATTGACGGATCAAAAACCATTTTGATTTTTATTGATGGTTCATCAATATATTGACGGCCGGTCAATTTATTGAGTGACAATATTGATCGTGTGTGGAGAACCGTCAATTTTCGCGGTTCTTCTTCGTCAACTGCCATGACCAAAAAATGATGAAATTATTGATGGAAATATTGAATCGTGTGTGGGCAATTCCCGTCAATACTAATGAGTCAATATATTGGGTCAATAATATTGATGGTTTTATTGAACGTGTATGGGCCGTCTGAGGGCTGGCCGTGAATAACGTTGACACTGTTCTGCTGTAGAAAGTCCTGATTAACTCTGGCGGTGTTGGCACAGGCGTTGTCATGGTGGAAAATGTTGTTTCGATGACGTGCGAAATGTGGTATGACGTGGGGTCTTGAGAGCTTGATCAATGTAGCGCACTGCTGTGATGCCGCCTGCTCTCCCTGGACCAAGATTTTAGAACACCAAAGGACCCATTCTCTGGTTCAGGCCAATTCCACCCCAAACCATTATGCTTGGACCTCCCTTTGAGTCTCGTTCCATGACACATTGGTCAGAATAACGATGGCCACGTTGATGCCATATTCTGGTCCTGCCATCTGCAGTTGATATGCAATACCGACTCTCATCTATGAACAGAGCAGTTCTATATCGCCAGTTCTGGTGTTGTTGGGCAAACTGTAGACGTTCACGTCGATGGCGAGGGGTGAGGATCGGTCCACGGTAAGGTCTAAGGCAATGGTGAGACGTCAGCGCACTGTATCGGTACTGATGGGTCTTCCAGATGCCTGTGTGAAGGGATTCTGCAGGTGCTGTCGCACAACATCGTGGATTTGACGCCTTGTGGTAACCCTTGGTCTACCAGTTCACGTCGATGGCGAGGGGTGAGGATCGGTCCACGGTAAGGTCTACGGCAATGGTGAGACGTCGGCGCACTGTATCGGTACTGATG